AGGACGTGATTGGAGGGGTTGTTAAGTTGGTTTGACTTCGATCCTTGTGCATGATTGTTGGTGGATGAGGTGGGGCTAGCTGCCGCTAGCCCTAACCCACAACCAGTTTGACCGGTCGTCACAAGTCAAAAAAGCATATGCAGGATGACACAGGGAAGGCCCAACGTCACTGGAAACCGAGCTAGGGACCCCTAGCTAGGTAGCCCCTGAGTACCAATGGAACGAAGCAGGAAGAAGCTCAGTGGTTGGGAGAAAAGCTGGGCCATGTCAAAGTTTGAGCCCTCTAGAACTTCTTTTGAGCATAAAGACTCTGGTGTTAGAGACTGACTTGGAGAAATACGACTCATGGGGGTTCATTTTGGAGTTCAATCTGGACTGCGGTTTCTTTCTTCAGCGAACAGTCGCTTAGTGGCGGTCACCTGCCGCAACAAGCGTCGTCGAGCAGTGGCCGTGAACAAGTTAGTAGCTTGGTCAGTGGTGGTCACCGTCTTGATTCAATTCCCAAGCGGGCACTGAACTATATAATGTCATGTGGAGATGGCCAATCGAATATTTTTAGAGTTTGATGTCAAAGCCAGAGCAAATTAAAGGCAAGCATAAAGACAAAGGCAAATATAATTTGACGTCATGTTCAAACCAAAACAAATCATGAAGCCATCTTGCTTCGATGGATTGAGCAGATTTCACTTCTGGTACAGCCGGTCGATCGACACAGACACAAAGCACATCACACTTCTTAGGGCATGACTCTTCTCTACTGCAGCATGTCAGTGGATCTATATAAAGACCAGAGCAGAGGGAGTTTTGCAAATGTCACCGGGTTTATGAGTCCAGTAGCACTTGATAGCATTTGCATATGAGCATGAATCAAGGTCTGAGTCTAGGTGACTTGCTTTGGCTCAGACAATTGGCCGTCATCCGAAGCAGGATGGTCGGATGGACCATGCTCAAGAAGCATTTCGCAGGGCCTTGGGCCAAAATTGTTGGGTCAGAGAAAGCTTGTATGTAAACCAGCGTAGCACATGGACACTGAATTACATTCGATGTTTTCAGTGTGCAAACTGGAATGCAAAGCACCCTTGGTACTAAGAGAACTTGTTCTTCAGCACTGTGACAGTGCTCGCAGCCTTTGAGTCAGACCTTTGATTCTGAGATCCGGAACACAGCGGGGATGCGAAGGTCAAAGGAGGCAAGGCAGAGTTTGACGGCAGTGAGATGTGCTGGGGAGCTTGGAGGATCTCTCTTGGATCTCTAAGCGATGGCCTCCAACCTAGAAGCGATGGCCTCTAACCTCTCTTGGATCTCTTGGTGCTTGCGAATGCTGCCAAAAGAACCCACATTTGACGCCTCGCAACTGATACCACTTGCATGTGACTGGCAGGGCTTCGGTGGAATGCGAGCGATGCTGTGTCTTGGCAACGTGATGCTTGTGACGATTGAAAGGGAGACCTATAGGCACTAACTAGTCACAACAGTGTTCAGATCTGTTTTTAACAACCGCATTGACGGAGGCGGGGGTCCACCTTTTGATCGATGTTGCGAAGATCTGTGTTGGAATCGGCTTAGAAGACTTTAGAGCAACACCCTAAGATCCTAAGGCACTACTTCCTGGAATCCTGTGCCACTGCCAACCAAGTTGCGCAGGCAGGGTAAAGACTCTACGAGTATCTTTGGCAAGCGAATTGCCTCTTCCGTAGATGTTTGGTCAAGTGAATGTAGGGTGCAATGGTTCACCCGCCGTCCTGGGCACCTTTTCAATTCAAGCTTCCCGGCAATTTCTTGTTGACCTTGGATGAGGTGCGTACTTTGCGGCTCATCCATGGACCCTCAGCACGTTGCATATATTTCGCCAGTTTTGTAGGAAAGGGTGCCACAAGCCCACCGGTACGTTTGATGATATGATATCCCAAGAAATGTAATGGTTGCTTTTGCACACAATTTCAAGATTGTGGTTTAAAGTGGACCTCTCGTTGTTTCTTCTCAGCTTCTCCTCTCCAGTGATTTTGCAGGCGCTGGGCTTCCTGGATGAGCTCAAAGCAAGCTCTGAGGCTACTGCACCCTTTACAATGAATAAACCAAGATGACCGTGGTCACTCGTTTGTGATATGATTTTGATTAAACTTGCAAGGCTACCCCGTCAACCCTGTAGCTCACTGTGACCATACTTTAGCCATCCCTCCTCCTCCTAGTTCACGGCCATTTGGTGCCGCTTTGTGGGACAGGTGACTGGTTCGTTGTATTTGCGCTGTGGATTTTGAAAGACTCCGAGGATGAGTGGATCTATTTTTTTTTCGTCCATATGAGAAAAGACTCTACCAAACAAAGAACACAAAAAATGACCACACGTATTATGTAGCCTCAACCAGAAAGCATTCCACGCGGTGACCGCGTTCAACGAAGGCCCGGCTGGTGAGCTCGGCAGCTTTCAATGTGCCTTTGCTCAGCTGGAAGTTTCGGATGGGTGGATTTGGGAAGGTCCTGAAAGCATTTGGAATTGAACAGAGAGATGGTTCTGAAGTTATGTTTCATTGATTGCTAACATTGTTTCAATGACTTGGAGGTTTTGGAGACCTAGATGCTTCTTTCTTACTTTACCACGGCCTGGAGATTCACTTCTGTACATATTTGTGCCTGGCCAGTGATGAGGCACTGCTGCGTGGGCTTCTGTCTCGGAATGGCTTTGAGGAGGTTCGGTGGTTGTGCCGCTTTCTTGTCAAAGAATTGACATTCATATGCCTGCTACTAGAGGGATATATATATATATATCCAGGACAACGAGAGGCGCAATTCCCAGTTAGACGTTGCCAGCCAAGGTCATGGCTGGGCCAAGATTCATCGTGCCATGAGCAGATTAAGAGGGGGAACACGATGAACTTTCCTTCCTGCACTGGACAACTGTCTAACTGGCAGCACTTGGCAGCTACAAGTTAGATTAATTGTTTGCAACTAGAAACGACACCCGAAGATTCTTTACGACCGGTAGATCTCACTGGTTGTTGATTGTCATGCAAGTCACTCGTTCTTTCTTGGTCAGGCTCAGTGGCTCCGGACAGAGATGCTCCGCTTCGGTGTGGCGCCCAACGAGGCCGGAAAGCCACAGCGGCCTTTGCCCAGGGCGGCCAGTACCGATTGTCCCAGACTGTAAAACAAGAAGCAGAAAAAGCTTCTACTTGGAGGGTTTTTCCTTCTTCCACATCTGTTAAAGTGGAGAGGAAAGCTCATGAAGGGTGGGTCAGGTCCGAGATGAGCACAATGGAGTGGACTCTAATGAACCCTGATTCAGTTGAGGCAGTTTAATGTAGGCAAATTCTTTGAAGTAGCTCATTCAATGTCTTTTGGCCCTCCGGCCGCACTCGGGACCGTGACGGACCGTGAGGCTTCATTGAATTTGCTCATGGACACTGCTGCACGATCTGGATCTCACATGGATGAAGCTTGGGACATCCTCGAGGCGTCCAGCCGATGTCTAGTAGCGTCCGATCGTTCCGTTCGTAGCGATGCCAGGAGCCCCTAGTAGCGTCCTTGCTCCTAGTAGTAAGGCCAGGAGCCCCTAGTAGCTTCTTGTTTGTCCGGTAGAGGTCACCGTTATAGTTTGTGGGACAAATTGATGCAGCCTCTTCATCCCACGACCCTTAAGAAAAAGCTGTTTTTGGCCAATTCAAATACAAGTCTCATTAAGTTTCCCTATAAATCTAGGACCTCTAGGAACCAAATCATTAGTGGAGGGCAGGGGGGAGCTTCCTTGAAGAAGTGTCTTCGCTATCCTGCGTCCAGATCCCCTACTTCATTCAGTAGGCGCCTACTTAATTGAGGGCAAGGGCAAGGGCGGGCCAAAGGCCACAGAAAGTCTTTGTGCTACTAGGAACAAGAAGCTACTTAGGGCTCCTGGCCTTACTACTAGGAGCAAGGACGCTACTAGGGGCTCCTGGCATCGCTACTAGGGGCATTCTTACTACTAGGAGCGATCGGACGCTACTTCAGACTCTTCAGACTTCAACCGTTGAGGAGATGCAGAAGCAAAACCTCAAGGCTGACAAGTGCCTCGGCAGTGACTTCTGCGGGGCCACTCTTTCGTGTCACTTTGAGTGAGACGATTATTCTTTGGTAGACTCCCAGCCGTGGCTGAGATTTTGGATTTGTTTGTCCTTTTTTACGCCGCAGCATTGATTAAATAAGAGATGATGGTTCTTAGGTATACAGTCTCCATTCTGACCAAGCAGCTCTCTGACCGAATCTCTGACAAGAGGCCACAGTGGATTGCGTGGAGGGAAGAGACGAAGTGATGGCTACCTAGTGGGACTAGCTTGAATTGCAGTGCTCCACTTACTTGTTGCTTTTTACTTTTCGGCGGAATGTGATGTTCACATTGAACACTCTTGTTGAACATTTATCAACAATTGATGACGACGATGCTTGCAACGTGAGAAGGATTTCGATTGATCCTAAAGGACAAAGTACTGATTCTCAGAGTGTAGCCATTCTTTCCATGTCTTGAAGTGATGGTCTTTCAGTCCTTTCGCTGGCAATTATGCCTTTCACCTTGGCCTCCTTCCCTTCTGAACATGAAGAAACAGTCGCAAGTCCGCGATGCGTAGGCGAGTGCCCCGCGGAGTGGCCATGGTGGAGCACTTCTTAAAGATGCAGCCTGAAGATGTGGATGAGGTCCAACATGGTCGTTTCTGAGAGTTTTGTGGACAAGGGCGATGGCCTCCAACCGAATAGCGATGGCTTCCAACCCAATAGCGATGGCCTCCACCCTAGTAGAAAGAAAAAACATGCAAAGAAAGCTCCTATGAGACCCTTTTCGATGAGGCCCATGGTTTCAACCCTTTTTGGATGGTGCCTCATGTGTTGCGACACACAGCTTTTTGAGATTTTCCCATTTTGATGTGCAAGAGGAGGACATGGGAGTTTGTTGGTGAAAGGGTTCCCAAGCAAATGAGCTGTTGAGTGCTGTTCCCACACCTTGGCAAGTCTACCGTGCGTTGCTTGAAAGGTGCACCGTGCGTTGCATGGAAAACACCAAAGTCGGGCAGGTCCTGGTCAACTCCCTGCTGGATGTGTTCTGCAAGCTTGGGGACATGCCACGGCTAGAGGTGGGAAGCAGTTGCTACGCCTTGATGGACACAACTTCCTTTTCAAGGAATCCAACAACAACAAAGTAACTAAGTTAGTAGCGTCCTTGTTCCTAGTAGTAATGGCCTCCAACCCAATAGCGATGGCCTCCACCTAGTAGCTTCTTGCTACAGACTAAGATTCCTTGTTACACATCGTTCAAAGAGGTGATGTAAGAGTTTGTCCAGCATCGCTATGCGTGGGAGAGTTTGAGCGGCGACACCCGACCCCAATCGTTTGCGAGGGACATCAAAGAATCCACCAAAAGCAGATTTGAGTGGTTCTTTTGCTTGCATGAGTGGCCGCATGCATGGTCGTGAGAAATTGGCCTCCGTATCCTTTTTTTCCAGGCCACACTTGACCGAATGCGGGAGTATGGCATCAGGGGCTCTGCTGTCACTTACGGCACCATCGTCAAGGCCATGATGAAGTGTTGGCAAAGGACTTTAATTCACCCTTGAAATTTCAATTTGGATAACTTGCCCCTAGTAACTAGTGCTCTTCAAACCCACAGAACTTCGACACTGCTAGTATACTTTTTACTTTTTTGTATATTATCCGGTAACTTTCTGCATGTTTGAAGTTTCTTGGCCTTCCGTACATTGGCACTCTGGTTGGCTCGAAATGCAGGCATACGGACGCGCTGGCAACATTGACAGAGTCTTGCAGGCATTCATGGCTAGATCATGTGTGAGACGGTATGCGTTGAAAGAGTGAGAAGCACCCAGCTTTCCCAATTTGATTCACCGAGTGGTGATCCTGAAGTCGTTGTCCAGCCGCGTGATTCGTGATTCGTTTACTGATTCGTGATTCATTTTGTGATTCTTTATTCGTTACTCAGCCACGTGATTCGTGATTCGTTTAGTGATTTGTGATTCGTTACGCAGCCGCGTAATTCGTTATTTAATTTGTATATATATATATATAGGTGATTTGTGATTTGTTATTTGTTTAGTGATTCGTGATTCATTACTCAGCCACGTGATTTGTGATTCTTTGCGTATTTCATGATTCTTGATTCGCGATTCATTTCGTGACTCGTGATTCCTGATTCGTTACCTAGCCGAGCAAATTTGCGATTCATTTTACGATTCGTCATTCGTTATCGGTATCGCTGTATTCGTCGTCTGTGACTCTAACCGTTGAGACCCCTGACCCTGAGCGCGTATTCGCGATTCGTGATTCCAAAACCCTGTCTTGGAGCTTCCCCGGATCAGGTCTCGATTCACCACTCGCACCACTTGCACTTGCACGGGTGAAAGAGTCAGAAGTTAGAGAGCGTTTTGGGTTGGGTGCCCTCTGCTTAGTGAGACGCGGGATTTTGCAAATCAACAAGCAAAAAGGGACACATCCTTTTGGGATCAAGACACCAGATCCAAACACTTCATTTGTTGTTGGCGGGGGACTGAAAGACAAAAGATCTTACCGACAGTGCCAGGCCTGGGAAGAGATGCAGGACGAAGGTCTAGAAGCCAACGCAGTGTGGAGCCTAGCCGCCACCACTAGGCAGAGTATCTACACCACCGAAACCAGCCTTGAAACAGTTGAGAGCTTGAAATACATACTAATACTAATATTGTGTATCTTTAATTGGAGAAGCGTGGTCTTAGCTGCCATCAATCGTTTCTCACATGGCCCAACTGGCCTTGGGTGTGAATGAGGGTCACATGTGGCAAACATCCCTTCACAACCAAGTGACATGTAAGAATGGGTCTGAAAGCACGGCTTTCACTGGAGCGAGGTCACCTACGGCTGCATGTTGGATGCCTGTGTGAAGTGTGGACATCTTGAAAAGGCCAATGGTGGAACAGTTTCAAAGGGGGCTAGAATAAACAAGATTGCTCAAGTCAGTCTTTCAGTCTTTTCTCTGATTCTAACGGAGACTTTGTCTTGAAGAAAGGGCACTGGACTAGAGATGACAAGAAAGGCCTTCGCAACAGGTCCTGCAGCCGCGTCTGAGACTTGGAGATATCATGCTCCCCAGGCCTTGCAGATCTTTGCCATCATGAAGCAACGTGGCCTTCATCGCAATACCATCCTCTACGCAACCCTAATCAAGGCGCCATTGGTGAATGAGCGGTTGCAAAAGGATGTGTGGAGTTTGATGCGCCCAGACAGTAAGCTTCAAAAGCAAGTGACTCCTACAAAAGGTTTGAGCAACGCTGGACAGAAATGATTCGAAATCTTCATGACAACTGACAACCCGCTTCCTGCCTGCTGGGATGAAAACAACAGAGTCCGCGATGGCCGAACGCTTTTCCCAGCAGCCTGCCTAAGTGGCATTCTAGAGTTGCCTCAGAGTCTCCGTTGTCCGAGGGCTTTGCGAAATCCAAAGATCCCTTGGCGGCGAAGAACCTCTACCGAGAGATGCGATCGGAGCGTGTCCCGCTGGGCACTAAGATGAGAGCTTTTGCAGGAGCTGGAATAGGACAGTTCCAAAGAGAAGTGAGCTGGGTCATTGTTTGGCCGCGACTGAGACTCACTGATTCTTGCAATGCAAAAGTCTTTGTCTGAAGGTGGGAGGTTCTTGGTATTTTGGGTGACCTGCGTGGTCTTCAACAGGTGCAATGTGGTGGTCTTCAACAGCCTCATTGATGCCTGTGTGCGCGCGTGTGATCTGCAAGGGGCTGCCGAGGCCGAAGAATGGCGGGACGGCCGCGACCATTTGGTATTTCAATAGAGGGACCTCCCAACCAATGGACGACTCATTTGTCTTTGATTTTCCCAGAGGTTTTTGGAGGGTCTCCCTATTCCAAAACACATGTGAAGGAAGTAGTTTACATTTTTTTCCACAAATGACCAATTCAGGCCCCAACACCAGGCTGGTTTTACAAGGCAACACATCCAGCTCAACAGGATTCATCATTGAGGAAGATCAATGGACCAAGTGGGGCCCAAGCTTCTCAAGCTTAACGCACGGGGCGGGTCAAGCAGGTCTTGCAGGAGATGACGGCAACCAATGTCCGCCCAGACCTCATTACGTGTGGGCGCTTAGCACACGCATGGCATACGCGAGAGGAGGATGGGAACTGGCAGCTCGAATAGCAGTTGATCACGAAAGGTTACCTCAGCAACCTGAGTTTGCTTCCGCAACACTGTATTCAACATAACTTAAGCTACATACAAGCCACATTGATCAAACACGCCGGCGCCCGAGGGCCGGCGGATTGAGACGGGATCAGTTGACATTGCATTGATTTGCTCCCTCCCCGTCTCCATGGATGCAATGCTAGTTGGTTATGCACGTTTCGAGCTATACGTACCTCAAAGTTCTCAGGCAGATGGGTACAACGGTGAACGAGGGCTTGTGTCCCTTGCAGAGTACTACGGACTGACAGTCTCGCTGGGTGAGACATGTCCTCCACTTGGTGTCCCATCGTCCGAGGTTCAGCACCCTCATCAAGGGCTACTGTAGCAATGGGGAGCTCTCGAAGGCGAATGGATGGAGGGTCGGAATGGATGCTCCAACGGTCACGTGATGCTCCCTTGGAGCCTTGGATGTCCACCGTGGGAGTCTTTGTGTTTTCTCACTGAAAGAAAAAGGGTCCAAAGTCTTTGCTTTGTTGGGAGAGTCTTGGAGTGTGCTGAAAGTTCAGAACAGACCAGACTCACAAGCAGAATGGTCAAACATCTCCCATCACAAGCCGGGGATTCTGCATCACGAGTCAACAGAACAACACACACCTCGTTGGCGGTGCTGTTTATAAGTTTATACCACCAGAGTTCCCGTGACAGAAAAAGATGGCTTAGATGGCTTGAGCCCTAAGGGGTTGCATCTGTTTCCTTACCAGACCAGTGTGTCATGTTCGACCCTGTTGGCTACACAGGGTCACCACCGGGCAAAACGCAGGCGATGCGTCTTCAAGAAGAGCTACAAGCTCGACAGCTGGAGTGCGACGCAGGGCCCCCCGGTGTCGCTTCCTTGAAAGGGATGAATAAATTCAAGATCCCACTAGGGAATCATATGATTCATGCTTCATATTCTATAGCTGACTTGGGGGGAAAGCATGTGGTCGGTTGATGGGGAAAAGCTTTAGGCCGTTTCAATTGAAAACAGGTCATAGTTTTGCTGTTCAAGCATTGCTGCACCGTTCTACAGCCTTCCGGTTCTTCTTAACGCTGTTGGTTGCGTTTCCTGTGTTTGCACACGAGACAAACACATGATGACTGGAACGCCGGACTTGCCTAAGCTGGGACAGGAAATTGTCTACAACTCCCTCCTCGAGGGTTGCGTGAAGGCGTGCCAAGCACAGAGCATGTTCATAGAATACCATGGAGTCATGACCGCCACAAAGCTACAAACTGACAGAATTTGTCAGGTTTCAAAGTTATACTGCTTTAAAAGAAGTTTTGCACAAACTGATGATAACCCCATGGTCCGCACACTTCTTGGTGGTGATGGAGATGGAGGCCAGACCTACAAATTTGATTTGTTGCCTCAGTTTGTTTCTGGACCTCTTCCATCCTCCGACGGCTTGGCGCAGCGGAGGCGGGTGATCTGCAGCTGGGCCTGCAGATGTTCTCGGAGATGCGGCAGAAGCATGTACGTCCCTCGGCCGTGACCTTCTCCATCTTGGTGAAGGCCCGGTGTGCAGGAATCCGGCGCGGTTGGGAGTATCAGGGAGGGATCAAGCTTGACCTTTGGCGAGAACTGCGAACATGAGTTGATTCTTGCTTTTTGTTCTTAAGAGCTCCGGGGGGTGGTCCGTAGTAGGCTTATATATAAAGTAAGCTTAAGTAGGTAAGCTACAGCTACTAGGCCTCAATGATATTGTTCCCAGATCTTTTGTGGACACTGAGTGTGCAAGTTGGTTGGATTCAGCTCTTGCTGTTGGTGCGCAGCGATTGAACGGTCCAATCTGTGCAGTTACTCTCTCGTGCTGGTCGACTAGACCTTGCCATCCACCTGGTCTCAAAGGACTGGGAGCAGGGTGAACTTCTCAACGGAAGCGTGGACCTTCAAACATATCAGAAGCAGTTTCACAAGAAGGAACAAGATGCTGAATCGAAGCTACTCCATCCAAGTCATTATCCCTCACTCAATCGTTTCCAGTATGTGATGAGTGAACATGATCAAATTGCTGTTGGAATAGGAAAAGGATGCAATGGTAAAGATAGAGCGCCCATAGCATTTGCAGCAATTTGTTGTTCAATTCTAATCATTCCAAAGATTTTTTCTTTTAGCATTTTTGTTCTCTCCCTCCCTCCCTCCCTCCCTTCCTCAGTAGTTTTTGAGAACCCCTGTAAGGGTTTGTGCCTGTGTGCTGTGTTGGAGGAGATGCGCCAGATGCATGGCGTGCAGCCAACCAGGATGGTCATGAGCTGAGCATGCAGGCGAAAGTAGATGAGAGCATGGGGTTGACATGCTTGCAGGAATCTAGTGGCAATACCAGGAATCTGGTTATTGTAGGGACGATGTCCTTCCAAGAAGCACTCTTTCTTTGTGTCGAGAAGTGTCATGAAGGTGCCTGAAAATGTCACTGAAGACTCAAGACAATGTAAACCACCCTGCCCACTGGGCTGCATTGGACCTGTGCTTTCCACAGCAGCATGCTGAATAGGAGGATTCTTCGCACTTTCAGCAGAGAGTCGATTTATTGCAAGAATCAGCTTTCCTGGCATAGATGATCAGAGATGTAGATGCGGTGTTCCTGGCCTCTTCTGATTGAGGTCTGGTCATGCCTAGTCCCCGCCTCGGGAGTCCATTCAAAAACTCGAACTTTGTCAATGTTTTTAGAGTCTTTGAACATCCAATCAGTCTCGAACTGAGCACATGACATTTATAACCAGTACGTGGTCATTCATACCAGTGTTTTGTAGACGTTTTGCACTCCAAGTGGCAATGGGAACACATGATAAGAAAGACACCCTCTGGACCACGGGGAGGGCGGACATTGGATGCCATGGTGGACGGGCCGACGGGAGAACCCTACCAGTCACCATGATCTTTCAAAGAAAGACATTCTTTCCCTGATTTCTCAAGAAGTCAACCGAGCTTTGTGAAAAGAATGGTATGAACAAAAGAATGGTACGAGACATCCTCAAGACTCCTATGAATCCCATGAACATCGTGCTGAAAGACATCCTCTCCCATCCAGGTGACCTGCTGATCTGGATGGGTCCGATGATTCGATCGTCTCAGGTGACCTGTTGTCTCAAGGCTCGAGATCTCAGCAGAGCGGCCGAGCCGGCATGGCCAGAGCGATGTGTTGACGAACAGATGATACACCATGTTGGGGTTGAACGGGTTGGTGATGCTTGGAGTGGAGTGTCCAGATTTTGACTGGATGGTTTGAGCATTTGTGATGGGTTCTGGCACTCTCTCAGTTTCTGCATCCTTCTGGATGTGCAAGAGTGGAAGTTTTGCTTGATCAGGTTCTAGATTCTACTGGATGACTTCGACATAGACCCAGAATCCTACGTAAACGACACAGAGGGCTGGAAGTTCATCCATCACTTATGTTTGCAGCTCCAACGCATGGGCTCCGGTGGAAAGGTCCGGTTACCTCTCGAGTTGCGAATTTCGATGCGAAGAGTTGCGATGAGCCACTCCAGGTAGCATCCTTGCTCCGTTCGTAGCGATGCCAGGAGCCCCTAGTAGTGTCCTTGCTCCTCGTAGTAAGGCCAGGAGCGCCCCGTTCGGTTCGCGTCCTTGCCAGGTGATGGCTTTAGAGTTGCTGGACAACGATGGAGCCTCCTTGGGGACCGACCTGCGAACGAAGAAAACGCGGATGTGTTAACATGGAAAATCCTTATGGTGCCACTCTGAGGTCAACCAGCGAAATACTTTGTGTCATCCAGAGTGAAGTTTATTTGGGATAAATATACTAGTTTCCAGTGTTTCATAAGGCTTATATCTCCAGAGAAAAGAATCAAGGCCAAACATGGAGGCCCCATAGATACCAGACATTGACTTGTTTAGCCTAATGTAAGGCGGTGTTGAATTGTTTCCATTGTGCTGTGTGGTCTAAACTGGGCAACCTGGTAGGATTTTTGGGCTCAGCTGCTGTTCCAATCATGCTCACATTGACCTTCAACAAACCTACAGCAAAGTGTGTGTTCCACAATCTCAGAGGTTTAGTTTGTTTAAACAAGTGAGGGTTTTGAATTGACTGCTTGTCAGCGACCTTTGCGAGGATTGGCAGGATATCCATGTATTCGGCTGTCATTGAGAGCAGCACGACATCTGGAGAAGTGGGGGCACCTCAGATGCCGCCCTTGTTGCATGCTGCAGCGCAGCTGTTTGTTCGCCTCTAGCTGAAAGAAGAAACCAGTTCTCCAAGTATCCCCCAAAGGGCTCCAAGATCTACTAGTTGTCGGTTGGTTCCTTGGTCCCAATGAGTGTCAGGGTGGATGGATGGAGGGTTACTTTTGACTCTTGTGAAGCCTTAACAGTTGTTCAAATCTGTGGGCAGATGAAGAGCTACCGGGTGAACAGAGAAAGAAGGGAAGATAGAACCAAAAAAATTAGGAAAGGCGTCAACCATTGAGCCAGTGCCCACGTTTTTGACCTACCAGGTGAGCACAGCGTTGCAGCTCATCGAATGGGCCTACACCCGAGCGCCCCCCGAGGATGTCCGGGTGCCTGACTACCCGACGCCCCGACGGACACCGGTGGTGATCTCGCGGTGACGACCTGGCGAGAAAACCCTGCGAAGTTCTACCGTAGATTTGTTTTCTTTGCGATGGCCTCCAACCTAATAGCAATGGCCTCTTCTTGGTATCTGCTCTGCACCCCTCAGGGGTTGATCCACAGTTTGCTAAACGAGGAGTTTTGCTTGGAAGTCATGCGTCGATGCGGTTGTACCATCAAACCATGGTTTGCAGAGGGAGAGGTGTGCTTGATTCAACCTCATGTTTCTGGCGCTGCGACTGATGATTCGTCAGTGGACTCCTGTCTTTCATCATGGAATTGTGTCATTGTATTCTGCATTCTTGTTCATTTGTCTCACGCGGAGCTTTTGAAGGACCAACGGAGTGCACCTCTTTGATGGAACCAATGCAGTTATATAACACAGAAAGGTTTCCATTTGGCAAGTTGCTCGGTTTTAATGGAATTCAACCGAAGCTCTGAGAGTTCTCGCAAGTGATCATTCCTAGTCCAGTATTCTGCTCAAACATCAAAGGATTTTTGCAGTACTCACATCGACTTCTGGACAGAGTTGACATGTAGACTAGTGACTACAATGTAGACCCTTTTCTTGACATTCCCCCAAGCCCCCCCACCAGTGAAGGACCATCAAGGACCTTGTTTTGCTTGGCAGTCTGGGCAGAAACGGCCTCGTTGCTGCAGGCTCGTGCAGGGCTCTCCATGGACCTGCTGAAGCGGGTCTTTGAGACCGCGGGCTTTCGAGGGGCCGAGGCATCAGAACGTTTTTTGTTTTCTTTTCTTCGGCGCCGAGTTTTCTCCACGTGTTCCGGAGGCGCTTCGGGGGTGAGGGCGAAGGAATACGCCATCGGGGTCAAGCCATTTTGGGGATGTTCGGGTGAAACCAAGCATCCTTCCAGTTCGTCGCCAGGGTGAGGCGCAAGATGTCCTTGATGCCATCGGCCGCCGAGTCGGTGAGCACGTGAGGGTGGCCCAGACAAGCTGACGGTGAGACAGTGAGGAGGGTAAGCTGGGATTTGCTGGGAGCATTGATTTTACGCATGCCTTTTGGTGTCCTAGTACTCACTGTGGTTTTGGGAAGAAGCAACGAAGCACGTCTTTTTCCCGAACCCTCAGGCAAGTGAAGATGAGCCCTTCCTTTAACCTGCAAGGGGCCGACCTTGCTGTAAAGTTTGCTGCAGAAAAGATGGACGGATCTACACTGTTGCTCAGTGCTTCAATGAGCTTTTTTGAAGAGAAAGGATTCCCTCAGACCAAGAAGTGGCTCTACCTCGGAAGAACCTCTCCCACCCTGCCAAGTTTCTGGCCAAAAAATGCTACTGATACTGTCTCAAAGAACCATGAAGACAAGAATGGTTGTGTACCTTCTTCCCCTACGTACTATAGCATGAGCAAGCTGGTCCGTTGTACTTCCCGCACCTGGAGGCTCGGAACGTCCTGCAAGATACTTTGTCCCGAAGTGCCTCAGGGCCGGGTGGCCGAGCAGCGCGGTCGGACGGACGTCGGGTTCAGAGCAGGGGTTCAGAGTGGTCACGATGGTGCGACCAAGAGTTGATCCCCAAATCCCCCACACAAGCAAGTAAGCACCACCTTCGAGTCAGAACCTTGTCTTCCCAACAACTGAGGGGTAGTTGATGGTATTTGATGTTTCTTCACTTTTATTTGTTTTTCAAATAACTGATTCGACTATGCTTTCCCCTGATTACCGAGGCCTAGAGTGGAGGAATCGCTGGGCTTCAAAGGAGTGCCTTCAATGACGTGTGCACCACATGTCACCTTTGGCCCATGGTCTCCTTGGTAGGTCTTTAAGTCAAACTTTAGTCATTGAACTGACATCATTCTCTTTACAAGACATGAAAAGCCTGAAGAGGCTACACTTCCTTTCGCTAATGGTAGGTTTCCGATTGACTGACCCGATAGCGCCCAGCTTGCGCCCAGGAGCCAAGATTCAGGCTGGTCTCCTTAGCAAAGTGGACAGTTTATCGATGCAAGAGTAAAGTTCATCGATGAAATCTATGGTTTGCAACTTCCATCCGTTGGATGCAAGGCGCTGTGAACATGTGGAACACTTGCTGTCAGGAAAGTCATCATTTTTCGTTTTTGCAGGGCTCATCATTGGATGACCATGGAAGTTCCTGGTCGTCGAGGTGTGGCGATCGCAGAGGGAGAAGGGGATCGGAGCAGAGTGGTGTTTGTGGCTCCTCAAAGAACTTCACTTCAGGAGGGCAATCTTATAGGCCTAGAGTATGCCCACTCTTTCAGAAAACCTGGCTCGCCGGAAAATTGGCAGTGGCATGACGGTAGGACTGCGCTCTTGTCTCACGTTCGATCCTCGTTGAATCTTTCTCGACCATTTCTGCCAGATTGGTTTTGCTTGTGACGACCGGAAATCTGCAACTTTTGCTGGATAGTTGCAGTCAATGCCCCTGTCAAAGGCCCCCCACCGCCTCTGAAGCCCTTGAGCAATTCCCTTTAACAAGGGGAAACGAGTGTTCGCTTACTCAGGCCCTGGGATCGATCCTATTCCTCCGGCTTTGAGGATCGCCCCGCGCGGCCCACGCGCGCGGCCCACGCGCGTGAGTCGTTGAGTCCACCTGAGCTTTTTCCAAGCACCGGGCTCTCAACGAATGGACTGTAGATTGACAAAAACCGTTTTTTAGTTCGTTGGAGTCCAACTTTGGATGTTTCCACTTAGGTCTATTGAGATTTCCCTTGTGCCTTCGGACAATTGGAACCACCGTGCTTGGAAAGAGGGAATAGTTTCTCTGCACACTAGGCGCTTTTGATTCTATAGGACATTTGAACCTGTCCCTCAATGACACATCCAGAGAGTGACAGTTCTTCCATGAAGACTTTATATAAGTCTTCCATTTGCTGGGGGCCAATGGGCTGTCCATCGGCCCATCAATGTATTCTATTGAATACATGCCGGACTTGTTGGGTTTGTTTGGCCAAATTGTCAAGATCTTGCCGGACTGCTTGGCCTCTTCCAGGCTTATGGAGGGCCTGCCCCTCAGTGAAGAGCATATGCGCTTAAGAGCAAGTTCTCATGAAGTGTTGACGACAATAATTTTTTAGGCGTGGCCTGACCCACCAATGGACATTAGTTGAAGGTGATGAATTGCTTCCACCTCGCTCCAGTCGAATCAGTAGCGACTCTTTGCTTAGACGTCCAATGGCAAGAATTGGATTGACCCCCAACAACATGTCACAAGAGCAGCTAATGTGCAGATCAATGCTATTTCCAGCTGAGCTTGAGAGATCATTCACAAGAATTGGATGACACCATCTTGAAATCTAAAGAATGAGCTGACTCTGCCAACCCTGGGACTCTCTTCCTCGGAGCCTTCTTTCTCAACAGCCCAAGGAGTGGAGGATGGGAGACAGGCGGCTACTGGCCTGGACAAGATATGTGCCTTGCCTTTTGCAGAAGTTTTGGACGAACCTGTTTTTGTCTCGCACAGGTTCGTGTCATTTCGGATCCTTTTGAAGGCTTTTGAACCATAAGTGACTTGCTATGACTAATATGACTATATATATATATATGATGGCAAAGAAGTGGGATTCAAAGACTGCTTGGGTGGTGATTGGGTCATCCGATGAGAAGCTTGAGATCGGATGTGGAATCCGGAATCCATTCTCTTTCACGTCCAGCTTACTTCAAAGGTGACTGACAGACAGATGACACGCTTGGTCAGACAGCCGGTGAACCGCCTCACTCAATGTTCTAAACATGTCGAAACGGTCCAAGCGATTCCTCAGGTACTCCTCTCTCTTCATGCACCCACACACTTGGTCGCCGGATGTGTTGGCTCCGAGCTTGGCTGAAATGCGACCCAAATGTTGTTGCCCAAGAGATGTCGGAAGAAAGTGAGCAGCATCAGGCTGGGGTATGCTACCATTATTGTCAACGTGACCTCAAAGAGAGCAAGACTTATTCAACGGTTGACGGTCCAACGGTTATTCAGTTCAATCGACATTGTTTCCCGCGGCACATATGGAACTGTGAATTTCTTTGCACGAAAGACACTTGTTGGAGATAGAGACCAGTGATGCTGGTGTATCTATTTACAACTCAACCCACATTTGCATTGCTTTGAAAGCCTGTGGAGCGGAACAAGGCGCAGCAGGGATGGTCAAGCTGGAGTGGTCAGGGACCTGGAGGCCAGGAACAGGGGCGCCCGGTCGTTGCCATCTTTCCTCACCGAAGTCGTGGTCACCGTGGTCGTGAGTCACCGATGATTTGGCCTTCTTTAGTTGTTCCCCGCATTTTAGAGCAGTTATTGTGCACCAGACACTACTGAGCCTCCAGTAGAGATCACCATGAAAAATGAGGCCAGAAAGACTACCTTGGATGGCCATCTAGCAGTTGGGACATGTTACTGTGAGTCACCACTGTTCTTTTTCATCCCTTCCCAAGAAGATACTGTTGCACTGGTCAAGCCTTCTGCCAGGCTGGGATCACCGCGATGAGAAGGCCTTTGCCAGGAGCGGTGGCACAGAGACAATCCTTTTAAAGGCCGTTGTGTTCCCACAAACGCAGTTGTCGCGTGTACGAGATTTCAATTACATTACATATTGAAAAGAGGCTCGCTTTTCTGTTTGAGAATCATTCTATGAAGGTCGGCTTGAAAGTCACCAGAGGAAGCCCTCTTCAATCTTGGTAGGAAGTGTTGGAAGAAGGCATACTTCCTACCAGACAGTTCATTTGACAAGTTCGGATATCATACGCTGCTTCAAAGTCAGGGTTTCACAAGGGTCGTCAAAGAGCAGCTTTGATCTGGCCCATGATCCCAGATGAAGAGCACTATTTTGGCCAAGAAGGCCCTTGCTTTGAAGTACGCTAAAGGATCTGAAGCTCAAACCCCAGTGGTCTGGAAGTTTCAACCAGCATCTGCTCAGTCCTGATCCTTTGCCTGACCCAATCGACTGGTTCAGGACGGAAGCCTCGCCAGCAACCCCAAGGCTACCGCTGAAGGCTCTGAGAGAAGGGTCAGGGAATGGGTGAGACGGGCAAGAGAATCGCTGACACTTTACAGGTTTCTTCCTTCAAACTGGGGGTGGTTTCGTAATTGTTCCTTGGAAGGTCAAAGTTGGCTTCTTGAATATGGGTCAAAGGTGTGGTGGAAGGGCCACAGACGAGTTTTCAGAATATGCTTCTCCTTCGCCGGTTGAATGTCTCTCCAGGTTTCTTTGTAATTACGTGGAGTTCCCCAAATCCCAATCTCTGCATTTTCTGTTAGATTGAATCAATGCCTTGCAGTTTCAGCCGTTGCCCCTTTTTTCTGCTCCGTTTCAGGCCTTGGATACTGAGCCGACTCCAGCAACGACTGCTGGCAAGCTCCAGACCTCAGGGGGTCTGTGTTTTTGCCTTGGAACAGGCGGGTGCTGGCTGAATCTCCCCCCTTCGGCTGAAGTCGGCTGAGTTACACAAGGGAGCACGACCCAGTCGGGTCTCTCTCCGGCTCCAGCACTCCCTGAGTCTCAGTGGAGCACTCCGCATGCTCGCTATGGCTCTGAAGGCAATCCAGGAAGCTGATGCTGGCAGGTTGCTGTACCTAGCAAGCTCTTCAACGAATACTTAGAATTGAATCCCAACAAAGGATGTCTGAAGGGATCGCTGAAGGGTTTCCACTTCACCATCCCACTGAGAAGTTCTGGAGCTCAGGTCATCTGTACACAGAAGCCCTTTGGAGGATGGCCCGCTTGTGCTGCAAAACAGCTGGGTGACCCTTTGCTTTGAGCAGACTCTTATTCTATTAGTCTATGAGGATGATTTCTTCCTGCCTTGAAGCGGCGAAATGTCTTGCTCCGCTCACCCTTGTCTGATTGGAGGGGGATCATCAATGAAGATCACGCGCTCTCTTTGTCAACCTGAATTGACTTGAAATCGTGGGTCTTTTAGGGTAGAAGTGTGGTGGACAGGACGACTGTCTCAGAGTTCTCCTGCGCAATGTCGTGCTTTGACAGGAGATAGATCATGCTGAATCAATGGGGATACCTCTTCAAAAGGTCTTATTTGGCGACAGCCGATCTCTCAGCTTTCAGCCACGATTCGACACTAGACTCGAGACCTGTGCGTTGCCAGCTGAGGGAGCGCTCACATTATTCTCCAAGAGTTAAAGCAGCTTCCCTCCAAGACCTCTCAACTGGTCCTGAGATTCCTCTCACGCCAACTCAACGGAACTCAACTGCTCGGCCGAGGTTTTCCTGAGGCTCGCAGCTGTCGAAGCTTGTGTCGGGGTGTGCTGCTGTCGAGTGTGTGCCGTGCGTGCCGTGCTTGGCAGGTCTCCTTAGATGGACCTCCTGGTCTTTAGGGCGCCTGGTCTTTGCATTGCTGAACATTTTTGGGGTGGGAATTGATGAACAGTGGTAGCAGGCATGCCAGCATACTTTGAAACGGGGCAGAGACAGCATTTTTGATGTCTATTTCTTTCTTGCTGATGAGATGGGCTTGTCTCAAGAACATATTTGGAGGTTCCGGAGTCGAACTGCAGAGCCTTTGGAATCTATCACCGGTTCCGGCTCGCAAGAGCACGTCGACACATCGATCGCTGAGGTTGACATCGGAGTGCCTGGCCACAAGAGCAGGTAGAGCAGTTGAGCTCTGCGTTGAAAACTGGACTTTTGAAGAGGTCAATACTCTTCTTGGCACTGAGGAATTGGATGAGGCCAATAGTCTTCTTACTAGTATAGTGTCCAACTCATGCCCTGAACTCGAACCTGTGAGAAGCCAAATCCGAAGGTGCCAGTTGCCTGGGGTGAGCGACATGCGAAGATACAAACGGTATCGCGTGCCGCGAGTCACTTTGTCGGTCTTGTGGCCAATGCTCACGTGCATGCGAGAAGTTCGCAGAAGTCGATTTAGGACTTCCAGCTACTGTTCATCGCACGAGGTGATAGGCTTGCAGACACAAATTATAGAGCGGTTGATGAGATCGTATTTGATTCTCTCACAAAGCAGCAAGACTTTTGGCCTTTTTGCATTCTTTAGCACCTATCATCTCGTTGACGCTACTGGGTTTCGGTAGACGTCACCTGGGCCAAGGGCATTATGTCAATGAACTCTAATGCTAGTCGTCAGGCCTAATTGCAAGGTGCCCAAAATGATATCATTTCTTAAGAACTTCAACCTGACCATACCTGACTTCAATATGGTTTTGGTGCTGAACATCACCAGAGAATGTTGCAGGGGCCTGTGCGTAGTTGTACCTGCAAAGCAGCAGGTACCTTTAGATGCATGTGCTACGGCACTGTAGTCGACAGTAGGATTGTAGGCTTTCTATGGCTTGCCACATAGGCTTGCCTGGCATTTGAAAGATGAAGACGTCAATTATTGTTATTATTGTTCTTATCATTATTTGTCATTGCAAGTTATTCCCATAGAAGCTTCTACACACTGTAGAAGTTCATTAATCATTTCGACTCTTTGTTGACAGACTTTCATCTTTGAAGTGCACCCTGGGCGTCCTCCCCTGAAGCCTCGGTTTTGCGCGTAACGGGTCTTCGGCTTCAGGGCTATGCGTGGGTGCTGCTGTAAAAGTCCCCCTTGGAGGGCTGGCATGCTTCCATCCTTTTTGGATGTCAAGAAGCTGGCACCAAGTGGTTTTGGCACCCCGTGGGATTCTCAGCTCTGACATGTGCGAACGTTGAAGCGTGTTCTTCTTTTTGGTCATTGAAACCTCCAACCTTCAGGAAACCGTGGTGGATACAGCATCTAGATGAAACTTATCCTCTAAATGCACGTTTGGCAGTACAGGCTGAAAACTCTGAAGATGCTGAAGATGCGGTGGTAAAGCCCTGCTGGATAGAATCCTAGAGTGAATATGGCTCTATAAATCGCATGGAACTATTACTGTATATCTAAAGATTACACACACTTAGTAAGGGATACTCAGCCATCAAACATAGCATGCGTAGGCTGCAAAGTAACGAGTCAATAGGACCAGATTTCAATTTCAAGCAAGCGAATTTATGGAGAATTAGCGAGCGTTTGTCATCAACTCATTCAACCCACTGAGGTGAGGCGTCCGCCACGGCTTATGTCAATCCCAGAACGTGCTCGGGGGGGGGGGCGAATCGCTTGGAGCAATCAGCGCAAGCTTCGATCAGCGAAGGGACTCGATCAGCTGAAGCGCCGTCTCCCTGAGTGCAGCTTCGATCGACATGAATCGGAGACCGTCTCGGCTGCTGATGAATCTTCAGTGGCCGCAGAAGATCCCCTAGGCCCTTCCGAGATCACCCGTGGAGATCGCGAGGTCGTTGGAGATCGATGTGGGAGACATCAAGCTTTTGGTGGGAGATTCGGAGTAAAGTGAGTAAAGGTCAGAGTCCAAAGTCCGTTTGAGTTGGGCAGAACAAGACCCCAAGGTCAAGTCTGACTCAAGGGCAATTGATAGGTGGTGTACTGGAGCTTGGTCAAATCTACTTTTCCTATACCAAGGTTGTTTGGCTGGGTTTGTGGTGACATTTTGAAGAGTCTGTCCAATCAGCAACTTTTTTTTGTATGTCATTTTGTCCTGGAAGCGGCATGTGTGGATCGAGATATCTGGCAGTGGACCAACACCGAAGTCAGGGGTTTTTGTTCGTGATCCAATTGGATGATCCTTTGCCACTCTTGCGGAAGTATAGAGCTTCAAGAGGCGGCATATACCGGAGCAATGGGCGAGAGTGAAAGAAAGGAAGTAGGACGTATTTGGAACTTTACGGAGATCCAAGGAGAGTTGCTTACATTCTTTGTTGCTCCATTTAATCAAGTTTCTCTTTTGCCGATCCCAGTGCGACGAGAATTTTACTTGATATTGTTTTTGTAGAGTTTGTTTCCTCACACAGAACCATCTGAAACAAGACAAAATGCGATCTATAAAAGCGGGAACCTACACCATGTGCTATTGGCTATTGGCAATACTTTTGATCCAGTCCTGACTGTGTCGAACTAGAAGGCTGATAATAATATGCCTTATGACAGTGGACACACCATTCTGGTTTGGCTTGCTGGCCTTCAATGCACTAGCGTTGCATATCATAGCTTTGCAGGTTCAAGTCACAAGAGACATGTTGAGGGACATGTTGAGGGACATGTTGTGCGCAAGAATATTTCACGCTTCCCAGCTGTACTGCAGCCTCTGCACAGGGTCAACTTGTTGAAAAGGAAGAGCTTCCCATTTTGACGACATATGCACATCACTTGTCCATGGTGAAACGGTGAAACTCTTTGGAGTTGCTCAGTGATGAAAAGCCGAATGAGAAAGCATGAGGCTTCTGGATTTTTTCTCAGCAACATACAGATTCTGACATACAGCTGGGCGCAATGGCGACCAGGCCGCTGCAAGACATGTTGTGGCACCAACCCTCCCAAGCTGAAACTGCTGGTAGCAGGTTTGAAGCACAAGCATATGACGTGTTGGCACCACAACACGCATTGCACCTCAACATGTGGAAGATCAAGCAGCAAGACGGAAGATCGTAATATAACTTACTGTAGCTTCTTGTTCCTGGCCCTATTCGCGAGGGCCTCCAACCTACTTGCGATGGCCTCCACCTAATAGCCTCCTTGTTACTAGTATAGTTGTGGAAGATTGTTGAAGACATGCTCAGACGCCTCACTTCGCAGTTGGGCCGCGTGTTCGAAGGTCAGAGACTGACGGTCCATGTGACGAGCTGGACGAAGAGGTCCGATTGCGCATGAGCATGAGTGATGGTGAAGCCTTTTTGGATTAACTTGGTCGTTCATTTATCCAGTGTGTGCGTGCGCGTGTGTAGCACTTTGCGAATGGAGCGAAAAAGAAGTGCGAATGGATATAAAAACTGTATTGAGTGAATCCAGAGGCGGCTCTTGTGATCGCTGGCATTGATGTCTGAGAAGTTGGTAAAGTCAGACTTGATCAGATCCTCCAATCTTAGGACTTGGTGCCTGACAACTGGTTCATCAGGCACAGAGCAAAGTGGTGAGGGAAGATTTTGGCTTATGCATTCAGTTCAGTATTTTAAGGGCACAACAAACCCACTCGCTGAGAAGACGGAGATCCCAAGGTGTTATAATAAGTTTCATGTTTCGCACAAGAAACAAGTCAACACTTGACATCTCATCGGTTCCATGTTAAGATCAATGAAACCCATGGAATACATATATAATAAGTCATGAAAACGTTTCTTCATGACCAATGGTAGAAATGTAGAAATGTTCCTTTGACATATGACGTGTGTTCGATTCACCTTTTGCCCGATGTCGTCAATGATCAATCGTGCAGTCTGAAGAACTTCTCTAGGTTAGTCCATGTCATTGCATGGCTCCTGACAGTCATCCTCTCTGCTGGGAGCTTGAGAAAGTGAAAGTGGGCGAGAAGAACTGTCAGCTGGTTTCAAGAGACACGTTTCTTCAATGACCAATGGACCAATAGCTGCTCTTCAAGCACCCATTCTTCCTCATTTCTTCCGGAGCATCGTGAGACTCTTTCAAACGAATGTCCTAGATCTTTCCAGTAAGTCCACAGTCCACCAAATCAGGGGCCACCAGTAACTCTTTCGAGAAAAGGGTGCTGTGGAATGGAGTGTTTCACAGCCAAGTTTTGTGTGAGAGTTTGACACTTGCCTCCAAACTATCTTTTTTGTTGTGCACTTTCATGGAAAAGGCATGAACCATGTTTTGATTTGGGCGAGAGATCTCGTGTTGATGTAGCAAGAAATTGATGGCAGCTCAGGTCCTTAGTTGCTTCTTCATTGGGTATCAGCTTTATGTGCTGTGACTTTTCTGATAGTTCTGATCCGCCTGCAGTTGTGGAAGAGGCATGAGGGAGAGGAGTTCTGGTTTTATTGGTCTCAAAGCGAAAGTTGCCAGACAAGTGGTTCTTGTACTGGGCAATCAGCGTAAGAATGGATGGTGCGTAAAGGGGAGCGAACAGCGCTTTGCAATGTTCCTCCCATGCCTCGGTGCCATGATGGGAGGTGTTTTATTTCATGGATGAAGATTGACGCTAATTCTCTATCCATGTTGAGGGTCATTTGGCAGCCAAGCAGTTCTAAGTCCATCCCAAGAAGAATACACCAGTCCTGTCGGGTGAGCGCACCCATGTTTGATTTGCTGCGACCTCTACAACAATCATGTTTGCTTCGCTGACCAATCTCGGCCCCAATCTTGGATGTGCGGCCAGCTTAATCTGAGGTATATACCATATTGTCATGCGAAGATCACTGGCAACACCGCCTACCGATTTCCAGAGTACTTCTACAGGCGGATTTGTGGCCTGTTGTATTGGGTCGTTGTTTCTGGAGACTTCGGTTGGATTCGCTTCGCGCTTGGACACAACTTGTTCGCCTGGGTAAAGCAGGTCTTGGTTCGAGTCTGTATTTCTGTAATCTTAAACAGCCTGCGACTTGGTGTGACTTGAGCACTGGCTGCAGTCCTAGATCCAATCTTTATTTGTTTCTTAAGGAGTCCAGATGGCTGTTTGCACTGACTGCTTGCTTTTGACATTTCACACATTTCACGTCATGTTTCTTTTCTGACAGTTTCGATGAGGCTCCACTTGGTGTTCACAATCACCCCTTAGGCTCCACATGCTACAGAGAAAAAGTGAGTGTAGGTATCATAGCATTGATTCTACACTTACACCGACTCTCACGGAAGCACAACCGACGACCTGAGGGTCTGGGGCAATGACGCGAAAGATTTGACGTCCGAGCACTGGGGCTATCTGGGCGCATGTGCAGCCGTGACGTTTTTGAGCATTCGGTGCGCCGGCATTGGGGTGAAGACGGGTGGAAATCGCGTCTTTGACTCCGACTTTTGACATTTCAAGCAACAGGAAGCTCGAAGTGCGATGTCGTCAGCTTGAATGTTTGGAGACTGTTCCTCGGGAAACACCACACCGCAGCTGGTTTGGCTCACAAGTGCATTATTGTAATTCCAGGTCTACAACCCACCGTGACTTTTCCTTCCCCCGCAACCTTCCATAATGTATATACATGCTGACACACTGGGGTCAAGACAGTTGTATCCTTCAAACCTACCACCACGAGGCCTTTTGGGAGGTTGGTCAGCACTCAGATGTGGATTCAAGATGCATTCAACTGGGTTTCTCCGAGCTGAAGAGCACATGAGCCTTGGGTCCAAAATCCGAGCGCAAGCGCCTGTGGGTGCCCACCACAATGACTACTCATATGGCCACCTTCGCCGTGCCATGGCCGTTGCCCTGCCAAAGCCCTGTGGCCTTGCCACAGGAGAGACCGGCGGAGACCCGCACGCCGGGCGCGACATGGGGACGCGAAGCCCCGCATGGCCGCTTCTGCTCACCTTTGGCATGGCCGCTTCATTACTTTGAGTGAACCCTTTTTGGTGTGCTCAAATGAGTCATTGCTCGTTTTGGACAAATCCAAGAGGGGTTGGCTCAACTAGCAGAACGGATCATTCTGTTTCACAGGGACACAACATCAGATTGGTGAACGTCTGATCAAAACCTGTTTCAGCGACTGAGTTTCCATCCCTTTTCCAGCAAGCCTGAGGTCTCTTGTCTTGGGAGTATTCCTCCGTGCTCGGTCTCGGACCACACGCCTGGGCAAAACACGGTCTCGGTCCTCAGACTCCGAGGCTCCAGTGCCTCCACGGCTTACGCGCGGGTTGAAGGTACCCACCTGGGCTTCCCTGCTGAGCTTCGCCTGGGTTTCGCCCTTGATGCGCCGGGGGAACCGGACGCCGCCCTTGGAGATTGTGGATTTGAGACCTGCACCGGCAGACATGCGCGCAGCCGAGTTGGCCATGGAGCTCAGTTCGAAACTCATTGAGTACGGAGCGAAAGAGAAGGCGTGTATCGATCGGAAACTCCTCGGCAAGTCCCTCCTTTGGCTGCATCGCTGGCGGCTTTGGAGACTTGGATTCAAGTATATAAGAGTGACTAAATGACGTGTGTGTTTTTCTTGGTACCATTTTCATTTGAGACTACCCAAGTAAGAGAGTACGACAGATCCCCTTCGCGTCCCGAGGAGAACGGGCATTTTGCGCTTCCTCAACACGGCGGTTCAATTCCTCCCTGCCTTGATCTTGGGGCCCTTGCTCACTGCTATTAAGCTGGGGGACTACAGTGGTGGGCGGATTGCAGCCTTCCAACTCTTTGGGGTGCTCTGTTTGAAGACCTTTGTAGACTCCTGGACTCAAACATAAAGTCAATTTGTATTCATGGGGTCTCTCTTTGAGGTGGACTCGTAAGCCCGCCATAGAGCTCCTAGACTTAGCCACACTCTATGACCAAAGATGTACCTTTGATGCCGTTAAGCTGTCTGTTTGACCTTAGGAGAACCAATTCTTCTACCAAACAACCATGATGGCCACTCGCGTCCGCTCCATGCTGCAAGCCGCGATCTATGAGAAGAGCTTGCGCTTGCGTGAATCCGCGGCCAACGTGCCCCCAGTGACCTTGATGCAGGTGGATAGTGGGAAAGTCGAGGAGCTCACCTATTCTCTCCACACCTTGTGGGATGGAATCTTCCAAGTGGTTGGATACTCCGTGCTGCTTTGGTGGTACCTGGGGATTGCGGGCTTTGCGGGGATCGTCGTCTTGTTGATCGGCCTGCCCTTCAATGCCAGCCTGCAACGTGACCTCAGCAGCCTGAACAAGAAGTGCCTTCAAGCAAGTGATGCCAGGCTGGCAAAGGAGTGTTGGAAGTGCCGGACACAAGGCAATGCTGTTGGAATTTGGTCAATGTGGGAGCGGTTCATGAAGCCAAGGGTCCCGTTTTTTGTTGCGGACTAGTTGACTGTTTTCCGGACAGACACAATCCATAACTCTTTTTCAAGCCTTTGTCAGCTTAGGAGACGTGACTAGTTACCAGTTCTGATCCAGTGCTGTTTGGGGTCAGGTGGAGTTAAACAAAGTCTCCTTGCAGTTCATGGGTTTCACCATGTTTCACACTGTTTCACCATGTTTCCTGCCAGGGTCTCCAAGACCTCCGAGATCTTGGGAGGAATCCGCGCCTTGCGGCAGATGGGCTGGGAGGACATCTTCGAGCGCCGCGTGCGCGCCCTGCGGGATGAAGAGCTGGGTGCTCAGCGGCGCCGGGACACGGTGGCGGCCTATTTGCTCTCGTACTTCAGTGCTTTGCCACCCTTCATGATCGTAGCTTGGAGAATACCTCTTTTTGGTGGGTTAGACATGTTTAGGGTGTTCATCATCGATCTAATGGGATTTTGGTCCATTTATGTAATTCGCTTTCCTTCTTAATCATCCAGTGTGCTGCAAACACGAAACAAGCATGATCATCCATCCGACTCTTCCCTTCGACCAAAACCTCTGAGGCCATCGTCTTGTTAGTCTACATTGCTGGAATGCCGGGCGGCTTCAGTGCGGCGATGATTTTCACGGCCCTGTCCTTGTTGAACCAGATCCGTTTCCCGTTGCTCTTTTACCCCAACGCGCTCAATGCACTGGCCGAGGGTCGCGCTGCGCTCGCGCGGATCGCGCAGTTCCTGGCGCTGGAGGAGGCAGCGCCCATGAGGCCACCCATGTCCGAGGACAAGGAGCTGCCATTGCTTTTGAAGCCAGGCAGAGTTCTGGGTCCTCACCGAAATGTAGGTTCATCTACATACCTTGATCATGTAGCAAGACACATATTCCTTTGTAACGTTGTATATTGATGCAACAAGTCATCTCTTCCTGACGTGTCGAGCAGGCTGACAAAATGCATGGTGAAAGACGTGGGTTATAAGTTTATGACCTTTCCAGTGTTTCGTTCCAAGACACCTTGTGGGAAATGTCTGAACTTGTCCAACAGAGCAAAGGCACTTCCTTGTCTGATCTTACTGCTCCGTTCTTCTCCATTCTTCTGCCCTCTGATCACTGCTTTGCCCGCCCCACTGCTTGGTCCACGCAGGCCGCTACCCCATCGGTGCCACTCCGTCCGCGCCCTCGCTGGTGCTCTCGGAGCACTTGAGCGTGGCAGAGGGAGAGCTGGTCGCGGTGATCGGACCGGTGGGCTCGGGGAAGTCCAGTTTGCTTCGAGCCTTTCTGGGCGAGCTGCCAGGTGACTTGATGGCGCCACCCAAACATGTGGCCCCTTGGAAGAAATGGATAACGGATAACATTTCTTTGGGGAAATGGTGGGGAGTTGTAGATTGGGGGCATGAGAAGATCAAGAATCTCCTTGAGATTGTGGCAGGTATTCGCTTCTCAGTTGACTTTGTCTCGAGGCCTATTGCTCACAGCAGCCTTGGGTACCTGAAGGCCGAAGCCTCTTGGAAGTTGTGGCAGGAGTCTGGGTGGATGGCGATGTGACCTTTCCAACCAAAGTGGATGAGGCAGCCTTCTCCAAGGCACTGGCCGTTGCAGCGGTGGATTTCGCGGATGCCGAAGATGAGGTAAGTGGAACTTCATTAAGTGGCGGGCAACAAGCCCGCCTTGCATTGGCCAGGGCAATGTACAAAGCCCTGGTGCAGGAAGACGTTTGTGCATGCGTGCTGGATGATGTAACAGCTGCCCTGGACCCTCAAGTCACCCTGGAAGTCATCAACAATTGCTTGGATCCTTTCCGAGCTTCAATCGTTTTCTTTTCACCTTCTCAGTACTTCTCAGGTCAAGCCTTAAGTGATTCAAGGGCTTCCTTTTTCTTCTGGGTCAGTGAGGATGGTCCCCTGAAGAACTACGCCACGCTGATCGTGTCCAGCGACCCGGGCGCTTGGCTGCAGCGCTGCCACCGCGTCATCGAAATGAAAGCCGTGGACAACGAGCTGCGTGTGGACTTCGTGGGGAGCTACGAGCAGCTGGCGCAGACGGGGCGCGCTCAGGATCTGGCACCGCAGGTGGGGTTGGGGGATTGGGGGATAAGGGAGTTGGACGGAGTTGGAGAAGGGAGATTGGCTCGTTGGTGGATGTAGGGACCTTGTTTCTCGAAAGAACGGCTTCGCGGCGTAGTCGTTCGACCTTGGAGGTGGAGAAGGAAGACATGGATGAGGAGACCTCACAGGAACAACCTAAGAAGCGAAAAGGACTGCAGGCCTCTATCTGGAACTTGGGGAAGGATTGTGCAACCCAACAGGGACTGTAGGGCATCGGGGTTGTTTATTCGAGATCCAATTTGTGTTCCGAGTATTTTGCCTCTCACCCTTGAATGAAACGTGAGTTGTTCAACCTTGACAGGTCACCACGGACGAGGAAAGAGCCTTGGGAGCTGTGCCCCTACAGCTCTACAAACATTATTTTCGAAGCGCCCGAAGCCCAATTCTTCTGGGTTCCGCTGTGATCGCCGTGCTGGCGAGCTACGCTGCGACCATTGTCCAACAGTGGTTCATAGGTCTTTGGACTGCAGACACCACCATGCAACGTGGACACTCGGCAAGAGTAAAGAAGGTCTCTGTTCTCAGAGGAATCCTGTTCCCACCTGCAGATGAGGCGACTCGATATATAAGGATTCGTCTAGAACAGAATCCTTTGATATCGTCTGACCTGTTTTTCTGGATGGCCAGCATTTATCCAAGTCCCACAGTCCCACAGATTGGGAAGATCTCATCAAGAACAATTGAGCTCAAATCCTATCCCAAGAGATTCTTCAGCTCTGTCACCCAACAAACCTAAGAATCCCAAAGTTCCACCTGCTCCATCGATTTGTTCCAGAGTAGAAGACCTATGAAAAAGGCCCAAATACGCCTGTCACTCACCGACGCATGTCTTGAAACGAGGCCTTGCCTACTACATGTCGGGGGTGATCTTCTGGGGTCTCGTGGCCTCTGCTTTGACCTTTGGCCGTGCCCTGCTAATCGCCGCCTTCTCGCGCCGGGCCTCGCGCGCGGCGCACGATGAGCTCTGCGACAAGGTCTTGGTGAAGGCTTCCACCAGCCACTTCGACAGGCCATTGTGGTTTCGGCAGGGGTCGAGACGCGTGAAACAGGCGTGTTCTTTTTCATACTGGTTCAAATGATGTGGTTGATGGGAAGTTAATGTCTGAATCACGGAAAGCTGCACCCAGTGGTGGATTTCTTTTCTGGTTGCCCCATTCCATGGTTTATTTGCAACATTGGCTTCTTGGTGAAGAGTCTTCAATGGGCGTCCAAATGGATCATGGTATTTTTTATGTCAATGGACTCTAATCGTGATGGCCTCCAACTTCATCATTTTCACCAGGAATCCTGCGAGCCGTTTGCTGCAGAATTTCTCCAAAGACTTGGAGCAGATCGACACCAGTCTGCCTGGCAGCCTGCGTTCGGCCTCCTCCAGCATCTGCAGCTGGACATGAAACGAGCAGGATGGTGGTGGCCACAGGTGTTTCAAGTGCTGAAGTGGAAAGGGACAGTAGGAGTTTCCTCCTTTCTTTGGCCAGATGCAGTTTTGAAAACAGTCGAACGAAGTGACCACCGCGTATATTACGAAAGGTAGCCCTTTAGGGGATACCTTGAGTTTGTCTTGCGAAGCAAGTGTTGGGACGTCCGGGTCTAATAATTGATCACTCAATTCAAACCCCCCCCC